CTCTCTCTCTCTTTAAAAAAAAAAAAAGAGTCTATGGTGGAAAGTCACTTTTCCTATCATCTGGCTATCCAATTCCCTGAGGACCATCCTCTGTGTCCACACCCTGAGATGTTCCAAGATTCTGAGTGAAAAATAATACTAATTCAGTGTCCCTCTGATAAATACCTTTAAGGGGACAAGGTAAAGTTTGCCTTAGATCAAGACTGTTGGAGTATTATATAGGGGGGTTAAAAGGCACTTGAAGCATAAAACAGGACAGTACAGTGAACTGCAAGGACCCTTCAGACCAGTCTGTCAGTTGGGGGCTGAGATGGAGAAAGTACACCACCCACCATGGCAGTGGATTGGAGTTGGGGCATTTCCAGGCCTCATCTGCCCCTGTGGCTCTACCTCCATCCCCTCATTCACAAACAGTACAGTGAAAGATAAGGCTGAGGAGCACCACACTAAGGGCTTTGTGTGGAAGAAATGTTGAGAAATCTAAGTCTAGTACAGCTCCTCCCTCTCTTTTGAGAGAAAATTGATGTCCCCATAAGAAAGTGACTTCCTGTGGAATATGTGAGCACTCCAGATTCCAAACCTTTTTCCAAACCCACCATCTACCTTGAGAAATCCTAACCTTTCTCCTTGCTATATTTACTCCTATTTTTGTTGTTGTTGTTGTTGTTGTTTTTGGTACCAGGGATTGAACTCAGGGGCACTTGACCACTGAGCCACATCCCCAGCCCTATTTTGTATCTTATTTAGAGACAAGGTCTCATTGAGTTGCTTAGCTCCTCGCTGTTGCTGAGGCTGGCTTTGAACTCACGATTTTCCTGTCTCAGCATCCCCAGAGCTGCTGGCGTACTACAGGCATGCACCACTGTGCTCGGCACTCCTGTTGTTTTGAAAGGGACACTTTAGCAGAAAGTATTTCTTTTTGAAGTGTACTTCTTGCCCTAGAGAAGGAATTAGTTGGTGGTTTTTAAGTGTGTTCCATGGAGCCCTTGACGGCCAAAGGAGATGGGCAGTGCTTTTGGGGCTGAGGTAGGTGTATCACTCAAACCCGTTCCCTTTACATCTGTTTTACATATTCCATTCATACAGAAAACTCAATTTGTAAAGAGGGTTCTAACACTAAATATTTTTTAAAAGCTGAGCCAGATTATTTTAGATTTCTGCTTACCAAGTTGACAACAACTGAATATACAAAGAACACTGTCGGGTGTAGCTTAAGCTGAGTTCACAAGCGAGTTAAATTCTCAAGTATTAAAGTGGTCCTTCATTGCACTTTTTGTCTCCCCTAACCTAGAGCTAATGAACTTTTGGGATGAGATTGCAGAAGTCCTGAAGGCAGTGAGGATGCTTAGCTTAGACTACAGGTGTCTAGATTTCATTTTTTGAGTTGTCCCCATAAGTGTATAGGACAAGCCCACAGCGAGGTGGTTGCTCCACCCCACAAAGTGAGCAGCCAGTCAGTAACTGACTGATTACAGACAGTGACTGCTTAATGTCCCTGAATGGTTGTGTGATAGGAATGGCAAAGCCTATTCATGATCTTATTTGAAAGCAGTGCTGTCCCTCATTAGGGATGAGAATTACCAGGACAGATAGGCTTCAGAACAGATGGAGGAAAGGTGAGCCATACGCCTCTCAGGATTAAAGTTCTCATGCTTCTGGGCTGATGGGGTAAAAGGCCCACTTCCCGGGGCTCTGTGCCATGTGACGTGAGAAAGGGGCGAGGCAATGAGATGTGTGGTCAAACAGTTGTCGTTTTGCTATTGGTGGCACCTTGGTCTCAGGAAACACCTCTGCTCTGGAGAAATTGCAGCTTCCTTGGGATCTTGAGCAAACTCTAACCTGGGCCAGTTGTTCAACCTCACTTCTTCATCGCCCAAATAAAGAGCATAATACTGCCTGTCTCAGAGAGTGGTCATGAAGGTTAAATGGAATAATAGAGCCAATCGTGGATTTAGACCTCCTGCCTGAAGTCCTGTGCTGTCATTCATATCAAGTGTCACTCAGAGCTGTTGAAAAACACACCCTCACTTCATTCTGAGAGAAACCTATTTTCTGGCAAGCAAAGAAAGTGAATTATTTGGGGACTTGGGGAACAGAGAGAATGATATCAGATTAACATTTGGTCCACATCTGTTTGACCTTCATCTGTTGGAGTCCTCAGAATCCCACTCTCTTCCCCTGTTCTCTAGCCCCTGCCTCTCTTGGAATGAATTTAAAGTAAGAATGATTCAAAGTGCCTGGTGGTCAGAAGATGGCTGCTAGGACTTGAATCGGTGATTACCAGCCCCATGATGCTGGAAGCAGTGGAAACCCCAGTGCCCTTGGAGGCTATGATAATAACCAGGGCAAAGCATCTGTGAAAAATCAATTTGTGCTGGGTGTGGTGGCACACACCTGTTAATCTCAGTGACTTGGGAGGCTGAGGCAGGAGCATCTCCAGGTCAAAGCCAGCCTCAGCAATTTATCAAGGTCCTTAGCAACTTGATGAGACCTTGTCTCAAAATATAAAAAGGGCTGAGGATGTGGCTTGGTGGTTAAGCACCCCTGGGTTCAATCCCCAGTACTAGAAAAAAAAAAATCAAGATGCACTGATAGAGAAAACCTCAACATGACCTCCAGTGTCTGTACAGATCTAGAGTAACTCAAGGAGAGGACAGGGCAGTGGTTCCAAAGGTCAGATCCAAGCCAGAGCTGCAACACACTGTGTGACTTTGTAAAGGCTGCTGTGTCACTTGTTCTTTCTTCAACTGTAAAATGGAGATGATTATAGCACTTGCCTCAACGTGGTTTTATGGAGGGAGTCCCTGGTTACCCCAAGCATACGGTAAGTACAAACTGCCGCTGTGCTTCTAAGTGCTGCCCTGACTCTGTGAAAACAACACAACACACAGAAGCAGTGTTGGATTCATCTAGCTGTTATCCTGATAATTGGGAAAGAGCACCTAAGGAGGAACAAAAGTCTGGGCTGGTAAATACCCTGTGCTAATCTGCAAGGCTGCAAACAAGAGCATTCGAGAGTCTCTTGTTTGTGCTGAGATTCTCCCAAGTGCTGCTGTTCATTTATTTTTCTTAAAGCAAGGATTTTCAGTATCATGCTCATTAGGGAAACATGTTATTTCAACATAACATAAACAGCCCTTGATTTAGAGGCAGATGGTCCAGTGATAGTAAATAAAAAGGACATATACTAAATGGAAAGAAGACAAGATAGAGAAAGAGAAAGAAGAGAGAGAGATGTTTTCTAATTATATGCCTGAGTCAAACCCTCCATTGTCTTTCACCCCAACCTCTAAGACACAGTAGCTGCATAATGTCTTGCAAGTTAGTTTCTCATCAGTAGAGTGAGAAGAATGTTTATCTTAAAAGGTTGTTGGGAAGATTAAACAGGATGACACGTGTGAAGGGCCTAGCTTAATGCTGACATTCTTTCATTTAGCAAGTATTTATGGGACCTCTCCAGGTACTAGGTTTAAGGAGTGAGTAAATAAGATTGTCAGTGATCCATGTAGAGAAAAAATTGTCCATGGAAAACCATGCATCATTGTCTGTATCACACCATCTTGTGTTATCTAGCTGTGATTCTAGGGAGTTGCCTTACACTTATATAAGTTGTAGACTGACAGCAGTACCGTAGTTCTTCCCCCAATCCACAGTTTTGTTTTGTTTTGCGGGGTGGGAGGGGGTACTGGGGATTCAATCCCCAGCACTATTTTGTATTTTATTTAGAGACAGGGTCTCACTGAGTTGCTTAGCAAATCGCTATTGTTGAGGCTGGCTTTGAACTCAAGATCCCCCTGCCTCAGCCTCCCAAGCCACTGGAATTATAGGCATGTGCCACCATGCCTGGCACAGTTTTGCTTTTTTGTAGTTTTAGTTATACATCATCAATTACAATCCATTTTACTGTTATTGATCTCTTACTGTGACTATAAATTAAACTTTATCCCAAGTATATTTGTGTAGGAAAAAACATGTTATGTTTAGGGTTTGGTACCATCTGTGTTTTCAAGCATCTACAGAGTGGTCTTGGAACAAATGTCCTGTGGGAAAGGAGAAACGATTCTACAACAAAATTCTTGTCTCTTGACATGTAAATTCTGTCCCACAGAGGTTTAGTTGACTTTTCTAGCCACTGCAGAATAGGTGAACTTTGCCTCCTGTTTGCAGATTGATTTCGGCTTTCCAGATCCTTAATTGTGTCTGCTGTTTGGATTCTCTCTTAAGCTGGGTGTAACATCATACTGGTTTCCTCGTTAATGAGTTAAATCAAAATCTTAATCCCACATTCATTTGTATGAGGATCATCATTTTAACTTTTTTTTTGAAAATCAACCTTT